GTATATATTGTTTACCATTACAATTTGTCTCCGTCACCTCAAAATCTTAAAAAAAAAATACGAAGATTAGTCGATGATACAAAGTTTGAAAAGTTAAACCAAAGATGTTAAACAAATACTAAAATTAAAGAGTTCTAAACTTTTTAGATTCCATTGTTACAAGTTAGAAATTTTTATGTTCTAAAATCCAGTTAGATGACTTTTAAAAGTATATTGTTATTTAAAAAGTTGAGTCAAAGAAATTGAATAAGTTAAAACAGATGTCCAAGAATTTAAACGACAAAAGTTAAGAGACAAAAAAGATAATAAACCTAACTTGGAGCATGGAAACTAACTAACCTTCCATATCAAAAGCAAAATGGAAGCACTATATGACGACTATTTTCCCTTGTAGAATTGTCAAAATGACGTTGTCACCGGTAAAATGATCTGCCCTTCAATAAGGGGTTTGATTTGCTCCAAATTAATTAGGTTCTTAAACATTGAAAAGTCTTTATTCCATACTTCTTCGAATCAATCCACACTAATATTTACCAAAAACGATTAACAGATAAGATAACGAGAAGCAAAATCAAACTAACTCCTCTTATTCATCTAAATTATAACGAGAAAGATTTTCTAATAGCATGGAAAGTATATGTAATTAAACTAAATGTTCATTTAGCTTTGAACTTGTCAATCAATACAGAGGAGATCGTTGAATTCTTAGGCTAACTTGTGAAGGAGAAATTCAATACGTAGTTTACATGTTTTGAATTTCATTGTTTTTATTGTTTTGAATTTTATTGTTTTATCATTCTCTACTTGTTTGTTATATCCTTTTATGGCTTTGTATTGCTACCTATATTGTAATCGATGCATGTCAGCAGAATGTGTTAAATTATAAAGCATATACTTCATTTAGAATTATAAAAGAGTACACTGACAAATCGGAAAGTATCGACTTGTTTCACGATTATTACGATAAATTATTGCATATATATAAACATTACACAAGTATTTGATAAAAAAAAAAAAACATTACACTAGTGCCTTTAATTTAGGCTTTGGAGGCATCTGATTATTACGATATGTAATTACAAAAACACACACAAACATAATCTCGGATCAATCCGAAATCAGTGACATTGAGCTTACATAGAAGATTAACGTTGGCGTCGGGAAGAAGAATCTTTCCGTGACCGTGGAAGAAACCTTTGTCGGAGATATATTGGTGTAGATATCTGTGAAGATCGATGAGATACTCGAGGAGGAGGATCTCGTGTACGTCGAGTCTTACGAAGAGCTGGTCGTGGTCGTTCACATACTTCACCGC